CATAAGCATAAAGTTACTGTTTTCTATAGTATATTACATCGGAAAAATATTACGGGAATGACCAAATGGGGGGGGGGGGGGACAAATGTGTGGTTATCAACATTCATTGTTAATCTTGCGATGCATGGATACAATAAATATATATTCGATAATTATTTAAAAGGAAACCGCCCGGGTCTCGCAAGATACATAACCAATCAATATACAAGTTCATAAATCTTCAAGATCATCGAGTTCTTGATCTTTATTTTCATGCAGATTTTTGTAAAATTTTCTAAATTCTTCCAAAATCTCTTGTTATTTTACAGATTTGCCATCATTATTAATCAAGTTGTTGATATTCTTATTTACGTTATTTCGTTTTTCTAGGGCACAAAAATATTTTGTAGGTTTCCTAATAGAGGAAACACATAAAAATTTAGTTTTCAATTACTTATCTTGGTCTAAGGCTTTGATAACTTGAATTAATTAAAGATCATAGATACAATACAGACTGGAATTTAGTGTATATTGTATCAAATAGTAGATAAGTCTAGCTAAGCTGCAGAACTGTGGCGTTATTGTTTCATATTTTAGTCTCTGACCATAGTGTTATGGTCAAAGATTCAAATATACTAGTAAAACCATAACACTCATTTCATTGGGAAGGGGGGGGGGCACAGCCATACATTTTCAGTTTTCAACTACCAAAAATTTCTTGACAATCAAAAAAAAAGGCATCGGACGTTTTTATTGAGGGGGCACAAGCATATTGTAGTTATGATTTCTATAGTATTTCATATATCGCAAAATTATCGGGGGTGGGTGGGTGGGGGGGGCAACGTAAAGAAAGGTACCCTCATTTGTATTTCATATAAATAATAATTTTCTCCCTCATCAATGTTCTTATTAAAAAAAATGTCGACCTAGTAATTCCGCAACTCAACGATAAGTCCATATAATATTCTATATAAGTATCTATTGTTTTGTTTAATGAGGAAAAATAAGAATTTATATATATTTTCCAAAATGTAGCCCAAAATTCCTTTTTATTTCGTTTTAATACATATATCATTTTTTCTTGCATTATCATTAAAGCAAATGACCCATTTGTTATGAATATATTCAACGATTTCTTTATAGTTAAACATAATAAAGGGAAGTAATCAAAGTTGAACCTGCCTTTTGATTGGTTAATTTGGATCTTGAATCTCGAAACTCGAATTTCGAATCTCGAATCTCGAATGAGCCTTCTGGGCTTTCGTAGAATATCTTGAATAGTGATGCAGTTGAATTGCTTACATTAGTATGTATCAGCATAGTGATGATTGACACTAATTTCAGAAAAGTGAGGTCAAAGTAAAAGCTAAGGTCAAGAAATGTTGATACAGTTGAAATGCTCCCATCAGTATGTATCAGCATATGAAGTTGAAAAAAAATATTATGAATGGGTTTCTTTAAAACAGATTTAAACACAATTTGATGAAAGTGAGGTCAAGGTAAAATGAAAGGACAAGGTCAAAAATGTTGATGCAGTTGAATTGCTTACATCTGTACATGTGTATGTATCAGCATTGGAAGTTTGGTAAAAATATCTTGTATGGTTTCTTTGAAACTGAGCTTTGAACTGAGCTAAACTCAAAGTGTGACGGAAGGAGGGACAAAAGACGGACATGTCAAACGCTATTGCACCGGCTTTATTCATTGCAGGGCATAAATTAAAAAAACAAAAAAGGGGGGGGGGAGTTGTAGCCTGAACTCTAAGCATGTTTTCACACAATGTGGTCAAATTAATTTTTGCTAAATAATTTTTAGTCTAGTCTGACATGAATGAAATAAGCAAAGCTAAGGGGGGGGGGGATAAAATAGATTTTTCATTGCATTTTCCTGTATAAAGTGCTTTCAGTACATGAAGTAGTGTATTAAAGGAGAAACTTTAAAAGGGGAATTAATCATTACTGTTCTAAATGGGCTTTTCTGTTTTATTTTTTTTTTTAAAAAACTTTGCTGTTGTTTTGAATTCATCATCTTAAACACTATACTGCATACTGCAGGGCAGTTAAATCATTATTGATGTTGAAGCATCAATATTTAGTGTGGACAAAAGGTTGATCATGATGAATTACTTTGCACATGTTTCAAATACTTAGTACGTGTATTTCAACAACAGGCCATAACACTTAAAATTATTAACTTGGACCTCAATTAAGTGACCGACCTTGCTGCTTTGGTCAAGGTCAACAGTAGAACATGAATTTCTCTTCTAGAATTGTCAAACAATTCACAAACACTGTGTATCAATGTATGAAATATTCAAAGCAGGGTTCAAAATATGAAGAACCATGTAGATTTAATTAAGAAATTATGAGACATAAAATATGTAATAAAGAATAGTTTGACCTTGAGGTCAAAGGTCAAGGTGAGGAGAAGGTCAAAGTAATGTATGACTCATTACCTTTTACAGCTGAACCCATGTGAAATAAGAATATATATTGTTTCTTAAAGGACAAATTACTTCTAGTTATCTGAATAGTTAACAGGAAATCATCTAAAAATACCTAAATTTGCTTATTTTTAAATCTCCATGGCAACAATGTTTTTCAAAGTCGACCCAATTTTATTTATTTATTAATTTTTTTGATTAACCAAACACTATTTTTTTTTCTTGAACTGTCTAACAGTAAGTATACACCTGTGAACCTACTATTAAATGAAACAAAGATTAACAACTTCAAAGACCATGCAGTCTGAAAATTATGAAGCAAAATATAAAGAGCAACATATGATAAATGCCTCAAATGGCCCCTTAAAATGAATATCTTTATTTTACTTTACAGTGTATATATAGCTTTAATTTGTACAGCTATACATGCAACCTTTATTGGTCATTTTCAAATTGATCAAAATGCTGATGATTTAGAAATATTACATCATAAAGTTCACATTTTCCCGCCATTTTAGCATATTTTGTATAAAACTGCTTATTTTCAAGCAGTTTTTCTTCCAAAAAATATAGAGCACATTAGAACAAACTTTATATTTTTACCAAAGATATATCTATCCAATACTAATTACTGACAAATTTATATTTTTACTAAAGATGTATCCATCCAATACTAATTACTGACAGAAAAAGTATGTATGTTCTACACTGCACTCTGTTTCCAATAAGACAAAACATTTAAAAAAAGGCCTATTTTTGCCTTTTTTGGTTAGATAGCAAAAATAGCCTTATTTCTCATGTCATTTACAGCCAGTGGGTGCATATAAATATGAAAAATATTCGGAAATATTTCCAATATATCCTCTTCTTCAAATTAGATATTCATTAAACATATCTCAATATCATTCTAAAATGTTGATTTTTTTTAGGGGGTCAAAATTAACTCTTATTATATATAGTCCTTGATAATTTGACATTGAAGTCAAAGGTCAGGGTGAAAAGAAGGTCATGGTATATTATGACTCATTTTCATTCCAGATGCACCAATCTGTAACATTTAAAATGGTTTCTTATAGGATAAATTATTTATAATACCATGAACTGTTCACAGGAAATCATCTATAAATGCCTAAATTTGCATATCTTTGAATCTCCATGGCAACATTGTTTTTGATTGTCTACCCAATTTTATTTTCTTAATTCGTTAATTAACCCAACTCAAACAACACCACACTAAAGAGTTTATAAGTAATTGCACAGCATTTTTTAAAAAGCCTTTCAAAAAATGGTGTAAATTCAACTATTTTTTTGTTCAAATCATATGTCTTCTTCTCATCACCATAGCAACGTACCGAAAAAATGTAATCATACTTAGTTGGTAACCAAAGAACTTAGAATTAAGTCTCCTTTAGGGAATAAGTAATTGCAAACAATCTTTAGACAACATCTTTGTGCATATATACTCTTTTATGGTAATATTTGCCTGTTTTGAAAGTAAAAATCTATTCTGGTAACTAAGGAAATGTTTTTTCTTGGATACGACAGTGTCGTTATGGTTGAAATCAGTATTTTTGTATTTTTTTGTTTAATTGTGACAGAAATAATCCATAAACACTGATTTCAAGAAAATTAAAGTTTTTGACTTTCCATTCAAAGCTAAATGCTTACTAGCATGGCCTCTTAAAAATCAATTAATAATTACACCTTCCTCATTTTATTTGAAGTAAATATTAAATTTTCTTGAATTACAATTATATAATTACCTTGACTTTTCTTTTAAATAGTTGCTGATTTATGCCTATCTTCGGAAAATATAATTCTCGCATTAAAGGATTAGGAAATGATGCTGTTGTGGTCCCGTATTTCGGCTGACAGTCGGTTACGGTAGAGAGCGTTTTATTCTTTTGTTTTTCATACCCCTCACAGTGAGAACAAAACTGGTTTCTAAACGGATGAACTGAAGGGTGATTTCTAACATCTGGTAGAGCCAAACATGCGTTTTCAAAATTTACATCCAAAGTATTCGATTCATTGCAAACTTGTATGTGAGCAATTTCATTTGAATTACACATTAGACAAAATTCGTTTTTATATATTCCGAGAGGCACGAATGCTTGGGAACTGGACTTTTCACACATCCATTTTACAATCCCTTCTCCTTCTTCATGTGGACAGTTCCATGTTGAAACTGACGGTTTGTCATCACATGTGATCAATTCGGATGTCTCATGGAATACATCACACATTTTAGTCTTAGCTTGCTGAATAACTTGACTGAAATTCATTAGATACATAAAACTGAATTGGAATTCGCAAATAACGATGAGGTCAACAATTTTATAGGGATCGTGTAGTAGGATTTTATCTTCCACTGTATAATTTGTATTACACAGAAAACAGAAAATGTTTCTGTAAGTAATGTTTCCCGACAAGATCAGAATATTATAATCATGACGATTTTCTTCGCACAATCGTTTGACGTTTTTATACTCATATGATTTCTTTAGTTTTTTCAGTTCCATATCATTTTCGTAGCATTTTGAAACAACAAGAACACTTCCCTCTGTTTCAATTGTAGGAAATGGGTAGCCTTTGTCGACGCAGTCCACCGGATGAAGAAATGCTGTGTCAATGCAACAAGTGCACTTTCCACGAAATAGACAGTAATATGAACAATCACATTGTCCTACTTCAGTCAGGTTTCGAACACTCTCAGGTAAGAGATCTGGTCTACAGAGTCGATAGGAATCAATTGCTGCTATCGTTTTCGAAAGCTGAACAAGATCTACATTATTGTTCTGTTCCACTGTTTCAAACGGAAAATGAATGTCACTCTTGTTAGAATCTCTTATCATTCTAAGAATAGCATCACTGCTGAAGGTTGAGTTACGAAACGTAAGGTGGAATCTTTTCTTGGTGTGCTTGCCATGTAAGTAACGTTCCTTTATACTTGTTGAAAAGTCAGAGAAGTGATAACGTAATATACCTTTGAAATCACTGCCATGCCTTGAGTCAGCCTTCTCTAGAGTCCGTGGGGGATTGTTACATTGGAAACAATAGAAATTTTTGTACGGATACGTGGCGGCTGATAAAGAACTTTGTAGACATTTTTGTATTGTTTCATTGTTTTGTGATGAACAGGAGTCTACGTAAGGTCCATTTCTGTTTAACTCTTTCAATTTGCACAAATAGCAGAAAATATTCTTATGAAGTCTGAACTGAAGAATGTACGAGGATAAGCAAGCGACAACTAAATCTTTATCATCCCGGCAAGAGTGATTGAAATACTTATATGGATTAAAATATATCGGTTTGATAATTTCCTCCATACTAGCAGGCGGAGAATACAGGACAGTTGTTCGTAAGGTTTTTGAAAGCAATATTAATTGTTCGAAAGATTCAATAAAATTGACAATTGAAATATAGTATAATTCCATGGACAAATCCCAATCGATTAAATTTTGATCTATTTCCCTGTGACAATATGCACAGAAAACATTTCTATAAGAAATGTTACTAATAAAAGAGCTTACTGGAGTATTAGAATCAAAATCGGCGGAAACATTTTCACATTTTTGTTTTTCTTCTTCGGAAGCAGATTCAGGACAGGTTGTTATTATCACATACGAGGGCTCGAGAGTTTGTTCTTCTCTCTTTTCCATATGAACGTGAGGGGTATCTAAAATGGCTAATGGTCTTTGAAAGTATTTATCAGGACAACAATTCATGTCCTGGAAGCAGGAATCTTCACAGGAACAAGGCAGACAACGCTCTAGTGTCACGTGAGGTTCATACTTTCTTGTACCTGGCCAGTCAAAACACATGACCTTTTCTCCACAGGCTTCAATATAAATGGTCATCAGCCGTGATAGATTAAATCCAGAAGTTAGACAAATTGCCGACAAAAACCACACAGCAGCTGATGCGTTCATTGTTCCTGGTATGTGTTTATTTCATGATGAAATCTGTAATACTTGTTAAAGATATCTCTAAATGAAAGAGGGACGTTAAACAGTATATAATCAATCAACCAATCTAAATGTAAAAAGTCATCTACACTGCTTGATTTTCTTCTGATAAGGTCCCTTAATTTATATACATGTTATTTTCAGTATAACACTTTTTTTTAATTTCAAGTCAAACTTAAGCACCAAAAAATTGAAATCCCTGTTTAAAATTTTGCCTTTCTTAAATAATAACTATTCGGTGTTTCCATATACATTTTTATATCCAAAATTTTGTTTAAATAAGCTGGGGGTAATTTACTGCAATAGTACGTCAACTTTAAGGTCGATAGTATGAACGGTAGAAATTCAGAAGTCGGTACTTCGTTTAATACTTTATTTTAACGTTCTAAAATATAGCGTTTTCTACACGGTCTGGACGTTGGCGTAGACGGTGCCATGTCTAGTTTACAACTAAAGATCTTGTATAAAACAACCAATTTATAACAACAATCAAATAGACAGTAAAATTGATAAGTTACTCTAAACAGATAAACGTCTGAATTTGGTATGAAATATTTGAAAAGTTATTTTATTTCAAAAATGTGAATTTTACTTGGTTATAATAAATGTAGACGTTTATCTGTTCAATTCTATACCTGACTTTTATGGTGGCATATTTCTTCCCCCTACATACAAGAAAAAGTTATGTTAACATGCAAGAAATTTATGTCTATATGCAAAATAAATATGTTGACATGCAAGTAATATATCTTGGAAAAGAATATGATTTTTATGTGGCATATTTATGCCATTTACATAACTCGGCTATGTTAAGGAAGGTCTGAGTTCACATTCCTTGTACATCGTATTGGAAGTTTAATTGTGACGTCATTGAAATTTAACAAGCCACAAAAATTAATTCACGACATGATCATGCGTAAATAACAACTTGAATTTATTTTTTTTGTCGATTATTCATAAAATCTTGTAAAATTGCAATACTTGATAGCAATACACTCGAGTAATAGAAGAAAGCCTTTTGTCAAACATGACGTCATCAGCCTTGACATGACGCAGCACAAGGGATCCAGAGGACTAGATTCACTGGTTTAATAATTACAAAAATGCTTAAATAAATGTGATACAATTGCTAGTTTTTATATCTTATCATTAAAACTAAAAGAACATAATTCATTTAATACAATGTGTACAGAATATGAATTTATCTAGTAGCATTGAAGCTGCAAAGGGATAAGGAATATAGAGAATATCGCTAAAACGATTAGCGTATTCGTGATTTACATCAAAAGTGCAAGGGCATAGACTATTTTGTTTGAGCTGAAATTTGGAATATTTATTGCTCATATAGTGTATATTTTGAAAAGTGCTGGGAGCTGATCCTGGTCTGTATAACATTAATTTTATTTATAACAGAATTCAAGCGAAGTGTAAAATCTTTTGCTATTATAAGCATTTTCGGCAAAATTTTAAGTACTTCGCAAGCAGCACTGACTAGCTCCCAGCACTTTTGGGGTATAGGATATACACCTCTTTTAATGTGTATCATTTTTTTTTTTTTGAAAAACAAGCGTATGCCCTTGCACTATACCAATTTCCTACAATCAGCTTAACAATTCTATTTTTATACAAGTCACATGACAAACAGCTGATAGGTGCGATATAACTGGTACTGACTAAGGCCCAGACCTATCCATTATTGATAGCTATATTACATTATTATTTTCTATAAGTATTCTGTTGCTTTGTTAATTTTTTTTTTAAAGAAGCAATAATATTAAAACGGTGCAAAGGTCACATTTTCCATATTGGTCCTTAACATAGCAGAGAACTTTTTGTTAACATAGCATATCATGCCAAATCAAGATAACTATCTAGCCAAGTCCTGACAACTTTCTGGATTGTTGACAAACGTCAACTTTATATCTTGTCCACTTAAGTTGACAAACCTTGCATGTTAACATAAATATGTTGCATGTCTACATAAGTATGCAGACACCGATATCCTGTGCCGCAGTAGGTGCCATTATAAAAAAGATCCCTCAATGCTTAATGGACCTGCGTGTCGAGTATAGATAAAAATGCAGCTTGCTACCGGCAAGTTGTGGTGTCTCCATATGAGTGAAAAAAATTCTTGAGAGAGATGTCAAACAAGAAGCAAGCAAACAAAATCATACTCACAAGTCAATTCTCATATATTCCAGTTCTAGACAAAGAAACAAATGTCCTATACACGTGAAGGTTCAGTAGTAGTCGGATGATAAATCTTTGAAGTCTGATATTTTCAGAGGACGCTGTGTAAATCGTGAATTCAAATTGAAAGTAAAAGAAAATAACTGAAAAATTAAGTTAATAAAATTCTTTTTCAAATTCTGATGCTTACTTAAACCCCATCGGTGTGAGACAACGCCGAAGACATCTACAATGCCCTACAAATTGTCTCCTAATTGTCTTATATATATGTAAATTTATATAATCAGGTAAATATCAGGTAACGTCTAACATCTTATCCCTTCACCTACTCCTTTTTCAATCTAAGTAAGACTAAAACGTGACAGACTTTAAAACATGACGGACTCTAACGTAATGACCTTCAAAAATATATTTTGTAGGTTCCAGATAACAGACATAGTGACAAAAACAGCATACTCCTTGCTTCTAAAGTTCTTTATTTGACTGTTTATTTAAAGAACTCGATTTTAATTTCACAGAACAAAAACTCTTCAAAAAATACTCCTAAATTATAAATATTAAAAAATGAAGAAAAAAAGCAGCGTACCAGTATGGGACACGACCAGGCTATTTCCTAGGAGGCCTCACAGTGTCTCACATGTCGCTTCCAAGACGCCCGCCTGGTGCAGTGGTTGAAGCAACTGCTCTAGAGTAGAGCTCTAGAGCTCGGAGTAAGTTTTTTTATAAAAATATTTTTAGGTTTTCATATATATTCATCAAAGTTTGGAATAATATAAATCACACGCTCTGCCAATATTAGAAAAAAAAAAATAGAAAAAAAAATAATTGAAAACAATTAGGGCCTTATATTGCCATTTAACAAAATAGATATATGTGAAGGGAAAAGGAAATTCAAAAGCTACAATAGGAGATGTTTGATAAACTCTTTTTTTAATTTCCCGCTATTTTACCAGTAATCGAAACCATATATCGGATATACCCCAATGGGTCTCATTTTTCATATCCTGCTCTCTACGAATTACTATTTAGTAGCTTTTTTTTATAGATTTGTTTTTACTGATGTTGTGGTATTAAAGGCGCTTGAACTCAGATTTGAAGTTAACCTTTTTATCAAAGTTTCGGCATTAAATCACGACTTATACGTTGCTATAGTATTCCACTCTGAGATATAGTGTAAAATGTATTTATCATGTAATTATAATCTAATTGTATAAAAATACTTGACTTTAATCAAGAAAATTTAGAGTAGAAATGTAAGAAAGAAAAAAAAACACCCCTGCAATATTGTCAGTCAGTGTACAATGATGTGTGCTGGGTTTAAAAAATTAAACGTAATCATTAACAATAACATTTTGTGTCCTGTTCACAAACAATTTTGCGTTTCAATACTTCTGTATAATTTTGTGGTGCTATCCATTATGACGTCATAATCACTTTCAACTTTCTTTCTCCCCTACTTTATGACTTTAGCAGAATTATGTGAAAAATATAGTATTTCATCGCATTCAATTTGAAGTCATATGCAAAGTAATCCCGATACCTATATTATATTTGATATTATTTTAAAGAAGAGGACATGAACATACAAATTACTGTTTTCTTAAAGACTGTAGATAATATGGATACATTTTCTTTTTTGAATATGAAAAAAACTCTCACATTCATGTCTGATTTTCTTAATTTTTCATTGAAAACGACAGTTTAAAGTATGGTTTTACATATTGTTTACCTACAAATTATGTCCAAAACAATCTATTTTATCACACTGAAGTTGTTAGGCATCATTAACGGAATTTATTCCTCAAATTTAGTAAAGTTGTAGGCATCTTTCTTTTACAAGATCTAAACCTAATATCTTGGTAAGGAGTACAGAAAATGTGCTTGGTGTAACATAAAATGTAATTAAGATCTCACAGGTGGTAAACCATCAAACGAGACATACAGTATTAAAGTTTAATCAAACAATTCTTGTCTCACAGAAATCTGATAATTATTTTCTGTAACATTTCCATAAATCAGTAACTAAATATGCGTGCTAAAACTGAAAAATAAAACTTGATAATCCTGATTTATTTGGCAAATTTTGAGTATTGTATTCGATTTGGTTTTACTCTATATAGTATTAAAATAACACATTTTGTTCAATTTTAATAAACAGCATAATTATTATATTAGAAATAAGCACACTACAAGCAATTCAATTTATTAGTGTTATGGAGATGTTTTCTTTTTTCCCCTAAAAATTATGAAATAAGGAACTTAAACCGTGAAGTTCGAAAATTGATTGTTTCATTGAAAATTTATTCTGTGATAACTTAGAATCTGTGGTTTTTAACACGGTTGTCATTTTCTAATAATATGTTTTATAGTTTCCTTTTTTATCTTTTCATGTACAACATCTAACTTTGGCGTTATATATACTGTAATGATATGACGTTAACATGATTCCAAGGAAGATATATATACATTATTGGAAAAAATCAAGTAAAATAAACTCAACTTAGAATTTTGGTAACTATTATTATAGGACTGTTAATAACATAAATACCTAGTGTTCGTTTTAGCTATTTCCGCGATTAAATTGTCTAAATAATTCTGTCCTGTTAAATTAGTGACACTTATTTTAAAATGAAAAAATTAAGAGAAAAAAAGGAGAGATTAATCACGTGTAAATATTAACGGTACTCATATTATTGATTAATCCGGCGCTAAGTCATTCAGATTTTATTCAATTTCATCATTTTGGCGCTTTCAATGAGGAATTTTCTTCCAAAATTGATGTCTTTTCAACGAATCAAAATATTAAACCAAAAATTGGAATATGAATCAGTGTAACAGTTTTTAATTTAAAAGTTAAGAAATTCCCCCCGTTTTTGTTCCGTTATACAGAAAATATTACATCAGTACTTGTCATATATTTAGAGTCTTGTTTGTTAATAACTAAATTTTGACCTGCTTAAAAATCTGATTTTTGCAGTTTTAAATTTTGATTACGTTTGAAATAAATCATGATTATTTAAAAAGAAAAAAATATACAAATCATTTGGATTTATTGTTTAATTATTTCTACCGTATTTATTTAGCATGATACATTAAACAAAAATATATGACAGGAGTCAAAGAACTTGTCGAACAATCCTTGTATTTCATATATTTTAATAAATATACTGGATTCTGTGGAAGATTACGCTAGGTGATGGGCACAACATGAAAGAGTAGACCTTGATATCTTGTCAGAATGGATAAACTTCACATGAGTACCAACGGCGCACCTTTATAATGAGATTTACTTTTGTTCATTTGAAGCAGAATTTGACCAAAATTTCATATATGATAAGATGAAAACTCGACATTTAGATATTTTGACGATGTATTTGAATTCACAATGTTTATTTCCATGTTTATGTCGATAGGACATATTCCAATAACTTTGAATAAAAAATGCCACAGTCTGGCACATCTGTTTCCTAATAAGATATTTTACTTGTTAAAGATGTAAGTGTTAATCGAACAACCAAGCTTTATAATAATCACTTTAAAGGTACTTGGACACAGAATGGAAGTCAATATTTTCTCGATAATATAACGACTTATTTATTTAATAGCATTTCACACTGACATTAATTAAAATAAAATATTCCATTTAAAATTTTTTGGCGGGTTTGATTGACACATCCCTGCACTTTCACAAATTTTACCTTACTCTTAATCCTTAGGAAAAATGGCAACCTTGTTGTGCATTTATGAGAAATATTAAAGCTTTTATCTAGAAAAATAATTTTATTCAGAGTAGAAATGTTAGAAACCAAATTCCCTAACAAGTATCGTCATTCCGAACTAAGAATTGCGTTGAGAGTTTTTTTTTTATTGTGCCCTGTTTACAAAAACTGTGTACACAACAAGAGTATGCAAATCGAGCACACTCTTGTTATGTACATAGTTTTTGTAAAGAGGGCACGAGTTCTGTTATTGTTGATGTTTATGATTCACCGGTTGCGTTCAATTGTCACAGTCTGCTTACCTCAACTGCACTGACTGAAAATAAATTGCGTTTTTGTTTTGCTTTCAAACATGTCTACACTGAATTTTCTGGATTATACATGTAGTATTAATATTTTTTGCTTACACACAACAAGATTGCCAATTTTCCTAAGGATTAAGAATAAAATTTAAGTGCAAGGATGTGTCAATCAAACCCGCCAAAAAATTTGAAATTTTAATATCTTTTATATGAAATAAGATTTTTAATTTATTTTCGTTTGAAATGCTACTAAAATATTTTGGAGAAAATAATAACTTCAAATCTGTGTCAAAGTACTCTTAACTTTTCTATCGTCAACTAGTTACTTCCCTTAAATTATTCTTATGGATATCAATATACAATGTACCTCCCACATGCATAAAAGGGGTTTATAATTTTGGTTGATTCCATACGCAGGAATTTGCCCTATGAATGATCAATTTTTTTCAAGGGGAAAATTGTTCACAAACAAATTGCTGAAACAAGAATATCAACAGTCTTGTTTAATGTCTTAAAGTCATCATTTTTGGTAGCATTTTTTTTCCAGAAAGTACCTCGCAGTTTTCCTTACCTTGTTCTGACCTTCTTCTTTACAATATCTACACACACATAATTTTAAAAATATTTTTAGCTAAATGACCTTTTTTGTTATGATTAAAACAAATTCCTTTGTTTGTGAGTTTATTATGACATTTGTACTAGTGGTGAACAGATCCTTCACAATAAGTTCATTTTGTGCGATTGTTATCGTTAAGATTCTGCCCTCATGATCCCCAAATTGTATTCTGTTTGGCGAAATAGGTGCACAGTTGAATATTTGCAAGTGACATGTGCTGTTTTTACAAAGGCTGTGTTATTAATAGTGCCATGTTTAATGTTGCTTGCTACAGGTACTACGTGGTTATGATATTCATCATTTTCATAGCCATGAAAGAGTCTGGTAGTTAAACAGGGGACATCTTCGATAGTCACATTTGTTTGGCAGCCTCGAACAACGATGCCGTTCAATTCTTTTTACCCTTACCCCAGACTCTAAAGGTTTTTCTTTTGTTTTCTCTATAACTTGAGTTGCTTTCACGTCTTTTATATCAATCTTTTCTTTTACCCAGTCTATAACATCTTCGTGAGTTACAGCCTAGAAAAACTTTGTCGAAAAGTGCATTGACAGATTTTCTGTACCTTCTGCATACCGAGTAGTGCTGATTACATGTAGTGTCGAATAAGGTTTACTACCTGCTATCCTTTTGATTTTAAATGTTCAAGATCAGATAATTTGATATAAACCCGCATTCAGTTGTTTTTAGCTGCGGCAAATACACCACAATACATGTACGTTATTGCACAAAGAAGAAGGTATGGTTTTAGCTATATTGCGCCCTAAAAATGTAATGACATTAAAAAGTTTTGAAACTGGCTTAAATATTAGTTAAATAAATGACTCTGATAAATCAGGAAAGAATATGGCATTTCTCTATTTTCAGCAGAAAAAGCCTCAAAATGGCACATGTCAAGGGTGATTTTCCTTTAGAAAACAGTGTCCACAGCCGTCGCCCACGTTAAATTTTTGATATTTTGTGCAAAATTCAACTACAAATCACATATCTCAAGATCGTTGAGGGCGATGCCTGTGGACAATGTTATCTGAAAGAAAATTCCATTGAAAATTGGTGTCTTCTGCATTTTTTTAAAGAAAATACGGGAAAATGCACATGTTTATGACGTCATAATTAGCATTCAAAACACATGTGAGAAAAATGACTTGTATGATTTTTCTGCATTGAAATTCAATTATTTAAAAAGCATGAGTTTTCAACTTTTACACCAATTTCATTTTTTAGAAAATCACAGGGCAAATTGTGTATAGAAACCATACCTTCTTCTTAAACGGCATACAGTGCTCCAGAAAAATAAGCAAATAAATAAACAAGAATTAGGAGCGAACAGTAAGCCTGTCGTCCATAACAAACAGAAGCAAATTTAAAATTCACGATTGTTTTTATTTCAGTACTACAATAACATCGATCACAGTCACACAACAAATAGTAAAAAACTTCATCAATTATTGTATTTGCAGGAGACCATTTCTAAAATAAAAAGATAAATAAATAAATAGCATGTTTGTTTGCATTAAGAAACTTATAAACAGACTTATAGGAAAACAATATTACGCTTAAAAATATCACAAACAGACATATTGTTTAAGGTCATATCATCACATAACATTACATTAAAAATAGAAGTCTTCTTCAATATTTCGTCTTAACTTTTTTTTTGATATCGAAGATATCTGTCATCGAAGATATCTGTTGAATTTTATTCATCAAAATGAAAAGAACCATTCTGCACATGGCCAATCCTCTTAACGCTTTCAGCAGGAATGCATTCTTTTGGAACCAATATAATCTCATGAAATCTTAAGGAATTTCTTCTTGATCTGTCACTGATGAGGTGTGTTTCTCGGACGCTTGTGTCAGTGAGATCTATTACCTCTACATCGCTTCCCATAAGGGTGCGGTCAATCCGCACAATGTGTCTTAGTTCGTTGCGCCATCTTCTCCGGATCATTCCGGCAAATAGCTTGATCTTGTCTAACGATTTAGAGCAGGAAATGAACTTTGACTCTATACTGCTACTAGACCCACTACAAACATGATCTTCAAGGCTTGTACTGGAATTTCTATTTTTGGGAAAGATTCCAGAATTATAAGTTTCTTCGAATTCAGGTCGCAGTAGTCTGTACAAATATTTGTCTGAATCGGTCTCATCATTCCTGTCTTCAGTGTCGTCATCATTTTCTTCTAAAGACCCAATGACGTCATCGATACTTCCTGTCTGTGTGTGACTTGGAGAAGCTGGTACTTTTTCTTCAATAACTATTTCTTTGACAATCAATGTTGACTCGCTTATTTTTGTATCGTCATCTTTTTTTATGTAAATAAATGTCGTAATGTTTTGAAAACTCGATTTCGCCCAATCTTTCTAAATCCAAAGACCTTTCATCGCATTTATATACTTCACTGGTCTCTCCTTGATGATTCAAATCTTCATCATCTTTGTTTTCTGGTAGATGTATACGTAGCTGTAGTGAAGTTCTACTCTCAGTTTTGGAGTCAAAAGTGTTTGAATCCTCATCCAAGAAAATTGGGATTGATTCCTTTGAGAGATTTCCAAACTGCTTTTCTTTATATTAGGGCGATTGTGCTTGACTGTTATTTCCATTCTCAAGGTTGTTTGTGCTGCTTACTTCAATAGGTCTGTAATTCTTTCTAGAATCTTCAGCAAGTTCAATGTAATTTCCATCTTTATCTTCTTTGACATTTGTCAAGTTTGTCGAAAAAGTAGTTTCGGATTCAAAGGTTAATGTTCCCACAGGAAGGGGTAATATTTCTTTTCTGTGAATGGTGTAGGCAACAAACTCGCCCCTTTCTCTAAAACAATCGGAATCCAAATTGTTCTTATTTCCTCTTCCTTGTTGATCATCATTTTCAGAGCCGATTTTGATTGGTTGGATTTTGGATACTTGCTGTTCGAGAAGACTTTCCTTACCATGATAAATTGAAGGTGGTAGTGAACCATTCAGATCTGTGTCAGATTGAATCTTCCGTTTCTTTTCTTCAAATTCACATTCCTCTTCGCCTGACCCTATTGTTTAAATCATTTATACAAATATTTATAGACAATTAAATTTCTGAAAGAGAAAAATACACTAACACGTAGACATTTGATATGTCTTAAAATTAAGTAGCAATACAATAAAAAAATCGGAAAAATGCATTCATCCTTACAAACAATACAAATGTTTAATTTTGAAGATTAATCCTGGCTATGTTGAGTAATGTCTAGATAAATGAAGTTTTAATAGACTTATAGATGAAAAAATCCTTTGTATTACATAATATACTTAATTTTGACCCAACATTACTACCACTGAGCTATATTTTATATTCATATACATACATTTGCGTTTGTTCACCGCCGATTGTCTAGGTTCAAAATCCATATTGAGTCTTATACATCTATATGTCATCTGAAACATGTGAATAAAACAAATACTAAAAGGAATAAAATAATTTGGTTATATGTTGTGAAAGCAGGATATTCTGTATTTATGATAAGTTACCATTATGTAAAACTTGGCGTTTAATATTTACATTGGGTTTTATAGTTATTAGCTAGTTATGTTTATAATATTTACAGATATTTATTTGAAAGCTACTCAGTTCATTGTCTTTGCTGTGGCCTTCAACTCGACATTTAGATATATCGACGACGTATCGTCAATTAATAATGATAGTTTCTATTCCTACGTCGACACGATATATCCTGGTGAGCTTGAGATAAAAGATACCACAGAGTCCGACACTTCTGCTTCATACTTGGATATTTTACTTGAAAAAGACATTAATGGTAATCTAACAACCAAGCTATATGATAAACGTGATGACTTTAACTTTTCTATCGTCAACTTCCCTTACTTATGCAGCAATATACCTTCATCACCTGCATACGGAGTTGATTCGATACGCAAGAGCATGCTCTACGTAGGAACAATTTCTTAAACGAGGTAAATTATTGACAAGCACGTTGATGAAACAAGAATATTAACAGTCTCGTTTAAAGTAATCATTTCGTAAATTCTATGGTCGATACAATGACCTTGTCAGCAAATACAATTTATCTTTGAATGAAATGCTGACTGACGTTTTTTATACCAATTGTTAGTCCATTATTTATACACTGAATTAACCACGGATTTTTTCCGTTATTTCCTGATTATGACAACGAGCACACGGCGGGTGTGACCGGTCGGCAGGGGATGCTCACTCCTCCATGGCACCTGATCCCACCTCTGATGTTTCGGAGGGACGTGTTTGCTCTGCTCTTATTTTGTATATTTGTTTAATGGACCTTGAGATTGAATACTGTTCGTTATTTCCATATCCTTCTTTGCAAAATAGAAGAGATCAATATTTTGGTTGAATTAAGGTACTTTTCTATTCTTTATATATGAATCTGAATAAACACCAAGACCAAATGAAAGTTGTGTTTAATTTAATGTTTTTGTATTGATAAGCAATAGTATAATATAAAAAAGTTATATCTCCTGCCATGCAGTATGTCATCTAATATTTATTTCAATAAACCGAAATTGAAGATGGTGACAATAAATTTATACACATCGGTGTATTATCAAATACAATTCATATCATCGCTGCCTTCCTGAAGATGAAAACAAATTTTATCCAAGAGCAAAAAAAATCAGTTTTATTCTTAAAAAGTTTTAAAAATGAGTACTTGGTCACTCATATCATTTAAACAATAAGCTGAAGGATTTATTTAAAAAACATAAATTTACTATACATGTATATCATTTTCTTTTCAATCAATTTATACCATCTTTTTGTAATTTGTGTTAAATTTTCAGAAATGGTGATTGAGTTCTTACCTGTAAAGAGGACGTTGTCTCTTTTTATTTTACACAGTAATATTTGATAAAAAAATGTTTATAAGGGATGATTTCAGTTACCAAGAAATTGAAGTGAAAGTACATGTCAAAAAACAGGAAACTGATTTCGGAAAGTACACAGTGTTTAAAGTACACCACTATGTATAGCTTGCATTTGAATTAATAGAATGGGCGTTTTTGAAAAAAAAAACGTATTCCATTGCGTGATGTAAATTGTATTGTTAAGCTCTGAAATTCGACCCAGGAGGAAGCAAAATTTACATTATGTGTAACTTATTTAAGTAGGATAGCTTTTTAAAAATCTTTGGTGGTTTAAATATAACTTCAGGATTTTAATACCTATTAATATAATTCCATTTACATGATTGATTGGGCTATTTATCTTACTTTTAGGAAAACGTCTCCTGGATAACCATTAACTTTGAATAACCGAATCTTATTTATATGTACTGCCTTAGGAGAGATAACCATTTTCAATATTTTAGAGCAATTTATCTCCTCCACAATACAGTGGAAAAAATTAAGCTCATTTTGGAATAAAAGTTATTAAGGAAATTTCAGAGCTTTATTTTTAAACAATGTGAAGAATGTCATGATGCATATATATAATGTAAAATCTCTATATAATTTTTTTCTTGGGGGAGGGCGGTCAAATTTTCGTTGTTGGAGGAAAATGTCTTGTTTTATGGGGGAGATATATTGGACATGCGATGGAAAGAAATGTGAAAAACTGAAAATACATTACAATATATGGTAAAATATATTCAAAACCTCAGATGCTTTAAACTTGAATAATTCTCAGCAGGCCAAAGATGACCCTTAATGCAAAATTCGAAAATTGTAGAATGCACATTATTTTCATCACTTTTGTTTATCGTCTCTTATCTAGTATAATACTCGATATTAGGGTATCGTTGAATCCGCGAAATCGGGTATTCCGTGCAACTTTCTATAAAAACTTAAGAATAAAGCAACAGCGCATTATGCCAGTAACTGTTACTTGTATATCAGTATCTTGTGGATTTATTTTTATTAAACCTTATTCATAAGGTTCTCAAATAACTTTAAAATAACACAACAAACTCTGCTGGGGGTAACAAAGAGGACACAGTGGCGTTATCATTTTCCAATATAATTTCTAAAAACAAATAACTACACTTCGTTTGTCTTTATTTCCAATTAAAGTATATCAAATCACAAACCATGGGAGATTCTTTTTATCACATATTTTTGTTCACTATAGATGTGTATTTTGTCGTTATTTCTAATCCAAAGTTCTTTTTCGGTTACCTCGGACCAAATAACGTAAGAAATAAAATCACGCTGTATGAAATAGTTCGTACAAATATAAAAGAGAGAAAATATTTCAGCGCTTATTTTTTAGTTCAGGAATGAAATTTTGTTAAAATACATCAAATAAAGTGAAATTTGACAAATTAAGTAATTCTCTCTATCATACACATGCATCTGTTTATTTACATCAAGTCGCGCGGCGTAGGAATACATAGTGTTGATACGAAAACGATATCACATGAGCTATATCAACGGGATAAAAGGGAAAATATGTGATAAACTAAATTTTCTAATTTGTGCACTTTTCACAAAACGTGAAATTTTAAAGAAATTAAACGACCAACGCCGTGTTATGTATTTTTACTGAAAAATGTATGGCGTCCCTTTCTCGTGAAATATAAATTACTCCTAACAGTTAGAGAGTACAGTATAAGCGAGTCATAATTGTATATCTCTGCCATTATAGAATACCAACGTTATTATAAAGAAGAAGATAAAATAAGATGAAATAAATACGCACGGGAAAACAGTTTGAAAATAGCTAATTGAAGCGGGGTATCTTTTTTATGTCAATAAATTTATTTTATTGAATTTCTCAATATAGATCGAAGTACAGTCATATTGATATATGAATTACATAGTCAAGTTTTCACATTTCTTATAGTTTTTACGTTTATGAACATGTTAATGAACAATCTAAAATAATGGAGTGTTCAATTGCCTTGGAAACTCTTGTCTTACCTTTTGGGAATATAATTCCTCATCGGACATTAAAATTTCATAAAAATCGTAGCCATTTCCTTTCTTTATCATTGGCGTCGGAACCGGGGGGGGGGGGGCTTACCCCCCCCCCCCCCCACTCACTTTTTTCCCAATACAGTAAAACACGGTTATAGTGAAGTCCTAGGGACCAGTGAACTTAATTCGCTATATCTGTAAATCGTTATATCCGAATTCATATAACCATATATAGCGAATTCGCAATATGCATGTTTTCCTTCAAGTGTTACTACTATCAAATATGTTAGGGAAGTAAATATTACAAAACAAACCTTTGATAACTAAGGTTTTATTATGAATTGAATTTCATATACAAATGCTGAGAGAAAATAAAGTCAGTTCAATTATTCAAATTTTAAAATCTTTGAAAGTTCGTTATAAAAGATGTAAAATTCATTATATTTAATCTCAACGGGACTCAAAAGCAGTTCGCTATATCCGTAAATTCATTATATCAGAATTCGTTATAACCATAGAATTTTACAAAGATTTGATAAGAATTTTGCCGGGGACCCAGAAAAACTTCGTTATATTCGTGAAATCGCTATATCCGTGTTCGTACTAAACTTGTTTTACTGTAGATTCTTAGTATATACATTGAACCTTGTTACATAGGTAAAGACCCCCCCCCCCACTTTCCACAGATACCTCACAGTATAGGCTAAAAATTGGTAAAGTTTTGGTGTTTGGAGAAAAATTAAGGTACTAAAGTTCGAACCTAACCCCCCCCCCCCCATTCTTCCTTACGATTAAAAATATATGACCGAGTTTAACCGACCGTGACATCCAAAGAGAGGTCTTTTAGACACATGTATTACACAGTCGAGGCTGTTTTGTCAGAGGTGGTCAAGAAGCCTTTAGCCCCCCCCCCCCTCCCTTTTGAAGTCGCCAGGAAATGGTAAAATATTGATGACAGCGTAATTAAACGATCAACAGTTATGTTCTCTCATAAATTGTATTCCTGTAACTATCATTGTCTCTGCCAAACTTTTGAAGACATATTCTGCAAATATGTTTGAATGATAAATAAGATAAGAAAAGATGTTCAAAAAAAGAGAAAGAGGGTTCTTTTAGCCAAAATTTTAGACATTTTTATCATTGCATTATTTATACATTCAAAAATAAATTTGATTTTATGCACAAGATGAATGTGAAAGTAATTAATTACGCATAATTAGATAGAATAGGCAATCTCTTGTTTATACATGGCATCATATCTGGTGTGTGAAATGTGTTTCCGTATAATTTGATTTATTTACAAATTGTTCATGTTTGTCGTGTTGATGTGGAATTATTATAAATTCCCGAATTCTGATTGTAGTGGAACGGAGAGTTGTCTTTCCTGTGTTTACTGGTAATGTTAGGAGTTATCGCTCTTTAATGTAACTCTCCTGTGTTCTTGTATTCTATACCTGCGTTGACCCAACGTGGAGCGGTCCCGCCGCATGTATGTTTTGTGCAGTATACCTCTGCTACTTTGTTCCATCTATGTCCTCTCAAAATGTAAGTTATTTATACATCATGTTTTCATAAGTATATGTTGCAATAGCATTTTCAGCACGCATGGTTATTTATCTTGTAAAATAGTTTGCCTTGCTACTTTATAAAGACCGCCATTTTTTCTCGTGTTTACATGTTGAAGTCTTACTAAGTTGACATCTATTTTCTGTGAGTTAATCTTATTTTTCATAATAACTGATTTATTTAGGCTTACTATTTTTTCCCATGGTGCGCATTATATTTATATTTAATTACGTCCTATTTTTGTGGTTTTTTCCCTGGCTAGGCACCTTGCTTTAAATTACATGTACACTTTTTCATTGTCTCAATATTGTTGTATTAAAGTTAGGTTATTATGTGAATTAATTTGATATGAATTTGTATTTTGTTTTGTGTCTTGATTGTCATATATACTTATGTTTTTTGTTATGTATTTTTTCAGCTCTTTACCACACATTCACACATATGCAACTGATTAAAGAATTCTGAACATCAGTGTGACTTGGTTATACTTACTGTTTTCCAAACAGTACAGTAAAGAGATTTGAGACAACACGGAACTATGGCTTCAGCAGAGAAACTCTCCACAGACAAGGCTGAAGATACTAATACGTTGACAAAACGTGAAACCAAATTTAGTGAAAAAGGACATGTTCATTTTGAAGAAACCTGTATGAAATATAAGAAGCCTTTATTCAGAAGTTGGAAGGTAATAGAAGACTTTATCCTTAGCATACAACAAACTGACAAGAACATTGATCATTACAGAGAATTAGAAAGTCAAATCAACAGTGCCTTTAGTGATTATCAAAGACACACTGAAGACTATTTGTCATTTCTGCGACAGTATAACAGTGAGTTAACAAGAAATGAAAGGCAAAGATGTGCTGATGATTTTGATAAGGGAAAATCTGTAGTGCAGAAAGCTCTCAACAATATTAAAAAACTGAAACTTGACCTGTTAGACTCGGTCTCAAATGTATCTATATCTAGTTCAGAGAAGAAAAGAAGAGGGGAACGCAAATTAGAACTAATGAAAAAAGAAGCAGAGTTAAAGAAAGAGAAACTACGTCTGGAAGTTGAAGAGAGCATTCAGAAGGCAGAACTAAAGAGGAAGAAAGAGGAATTGGAGATTGACTTAAAACTACTTAAACAAGAAAGCATTATAGAAGCGGCTAGCGACGAGGAATCTGTGGAAGATCTACAGTTGGATGAGGAAACTTCCAGTCAAAGAGCGTCTAAGTATGTGTCCAGTTTACCTGATGAGATTCCCAGTGAGATCCCTAATCAGCCTAATGTCGATTCAAGTAAACAAAAAACTGTACATGCTGTAGGAAGTGATTCCCAGACAATGATGTCTGAAATGTCATTGTTTCTCATGAGAAAGCAGTTGCTACCTGAACGCTTTTCAAATTTTGAGGATACACCTGAATCTTACACAGCATGGAAATCCTCCTTTAAGAACATTATCGGTGAACTGAAAGCTTCAGCTTATGAGGAACTTGAGCTGCTTATAAATAAACTTACTGGAAATTCCAAGCAAGCAGCATCTGGAATTCGGAATGCAAACCCAGGAAAGCCTAAACATGCATTAGGTCTTATTTGGGAGAGACTAGACCATATGTATGGCAGACCGGAAATGGTGGAAGCCTCAATTCGCCAACAGCTAGAAAACTTTCAGCCAGTCAAATCAGGAGAAAACAAACGACTCTATGATTTACTGAACATTCTTATCAAGATAGAATCGTTAATGACAAACTCTGTGTTTGCTAGCAGTCTAGCTTATTTCAATTCGTCAACCGGTGTAAACCCAATCATCACTAAGTTACCTTTCAATCTTCAAGAAAAGTGGATCACCCGAGCTTCAACATACAAGAAAACAAATAGTGTGCCATTTCCACCATTTACATACTTTGTGGCATTCATCAGAGAAATCAGTGAAGTGAGAAATGACCCTGCCTTTTCTTTCATCAGTAGTCGACAATCTACAGTGAATAAACGACAAGTCCATGCGAAGAAATCTGACGTCACTAATTCTGTTAGCCACTTGCAGATTCGTTGTCCTTACCATAAAGCTAATCACAGCATTCATGACTGCAAGGCTTTTCGTGCAAAACCACTCACTGAAAGAAGAAACTTTCTTCAAAGTAAGAACATATGTACAAGATGTTGTGTATCTGCCAGACACTGTGCTAGAGATTGTCAAGTGAATATTCAATGTAAAACTTGTGGGCGTAACAACCATACCACAGCACTACATCTAGATAAAGCTTCATCTGCAAGTGCGAGCGTTCATGGCGGGGAGGGAATTCGTAATTCCTTTGCTCAACCAAAAGCATCTGGACATGGCAAAGAAAATCTTCCCCCACTACCTAAGGAGTCAAAGGACACTGATAGTTTTGTGACGTCAATGTGTACCACCTTTTGCGGAGATATCTTCCAAGGAAGATCTTGTAGTAAAACATTTCTTGTGGATGTCTATCATCATGATAACCCAAACAATGTGCTCCGTGTTTATGCAATTGTTGATGATCAGTGTAATCAGACACTTGCTTCACCAGAACTGTTAGACACATTAGATACATCTAGCATTCCTACAAAGTTTACCTTAGCCACTTGTTCGGGAAAAACAGCTATGTATGGCAGGAATGTTCTTGGACTAAAAGTGCGTTCTATTGACAGGACAGTTACTTTGGATCTTCCATCTGTCCTTGAATGTGAAGATATACCTAATGACGTGTCGGAGATTCCCACACCAGAAATTGCGAAATCTTACACACATCTTAGTGTTATTGCATCTAAGATTCCGGAGTTTGATCCGAATTCTAAAATTCACCTACTTATCGGCAGAGATTTGTTGGAAGCCCACCATATCAAAGAGCAAATCCTTGGACCCCGAGGAGCGCCATTTGCTCAGAGGCTTGCGCAGGTATGTTAAGGAAGCATATGAGTAATTTCTCGGGAAATTTAGACTTTTTGAAGAAAATTTAGTTTAATAAATTACCAAAACCACTGATAAACGTAAACTTTTATTTACTATTGCATACAGATAACAACCTGTCTACGGCAAAGACGTGCATCACCGCCATGGTATCACGTGACTTCTATCAATAGAAAAATTTTCCTTAATAAAAAGGCTTACAGAACAACAATACCCCGGAGTTTGATAATTTCTTTGAGTATGTAATATAACTGAAAACATCTATTTTATCTAAAAAGTGCTGCTAAATCCCACTATCTTGTCCGTAAAATATTTATTCCACACATTCGCACGAAACCTTACCCTTTGTTTTGAATTTTATACATATGAATCGTGATTTTTCGTACAACCATGCTTAACTCGGGATTCTAGCAGCACTTTCCAAGTTTGTTTTAGCGCAAACTTTGAATATTTACTAATCGTATGTTTTGAAATATCAAGCTTATTGTTGTTCTGTTGCATTTTTTGGTCAAGAATGACAGACGATAGGCCGACCCGGATACGTAATATAGCTGACTGTCTTCGAAAGAGAATATAATCGATGAAAATAAATAAGCATACCTGTCAAATTAATTGAACTCCATATGAATTTAACACAGTATTTTCGATAATTCCTTTTAAACTCCATTTTACGTATCTTTGAACTTGCCGTCTTAGCCAAATTCTCTTTACACGACATAATCAATTTCCAAGTTACTTGATGTACCCATATGACGTCATCGATAATAGATTTCAATCATAATGACTGCTACAACATAACAAGATAAACGCATTTTATTTTTGTTAATGTTTACACGTTTCTAATCATTTTCTAGATTTAAATTACATAGCTAAATACCAATATTACGAAAACTGTATTTCTAAAATTGACGTCATCTTGCCTACTATGACGTCATAATGCAGCACTGATTTAGCCATGGTAGAAAATCTTGTATGCTTCCTTATTCCCCCTGCGTGGTTTTGGCTGGGTCATAATTGGTGAAGTTTGTCACGGAAAGATTCACCAACGAACATCACTTAATGTCAAGAAAGTCTCCATTCTCAATGACGGAAGAGTGACATGTAATGAACCTTGTCCAAACTATATGCTAGTAAAGAAACAGATCTCATCAGACTACAAAGATAGTAACCGTGATTTTCAGTTTCATGGTGATGACGTTTTCTTGAAAACCCCAGAGGATGACCGTATTGGCCTATCTGTGGAAGACAGACAATTCTTGAAACTTATGGAAAAATCATTTACGAAGAACAGTGAAGGGTTATGGACTGCTCCTCTCCCTTTCCGACAGTCTCCTGTCAACATGCCAAATAACAGATCTCAAGCTGTCCACAGGGCACAAATTCTACATATCAGTTTGCAAAGAGACTCTGTTAAAAAGGAACAATTCGTGAAATTCATGGACAAAGTATTGAAAAGTGGAGCCGCAGAAGTTGCCCCAAATTCTACAAGCTACGCCTGCTGGTACTTACCGCTGTTTGGTGTAAGCAACCCAAAGAAACCGAATCAGATAAGGGGTGTTTTTGATTCGTCAGCCAAATATGGAGGCGTTTCACCCAACTCTATGCTTATGACGGGCCCAGACATGATAAATAGCCTCCTTGGAATATTACTACGCTTTAGAAAGGATGAGGTTGCCATGACTACAGACATCGAACAGATGTTTTACCGGTTTCGTGTAGATGAGAACCACCGTGATTTTCTACGCTTTCTCTGGTACAGAGATAACAACCCTGAGGAGGATTTGATAGAGTAAAGGATGACCTCACACGTATTTGGAAACAGTCCATCACCCGCAGTTGCCTGTTACGGACTCTTAAAAACAGTAGAAAATGCTGACCCAGATGTTAAAAATTTCGTGAAACATAACTTTTATGTTGACGATGGACTCATTTCCTTAACGAGTGAATCAGATGCTATTGGATTGATGAGACGTACTCAAGACATCATGAAAACAGAAGGACAAATTAGACTACATAAAATAACATCCAATAGAGCTGCAGTTATGGAAGCCTTTGACATTAGTGATAGAGGAGAAGAAGTGAAAGAAATTGACAATGATCATTTGGTTCATAGATCTCTTGGACTCTGTTGGAATTTGAAGGAGGACACCTTCGTGTTTACTGTACCTAAGGATGAAAAGCCCTTTACCCGTCGTGGTTTGCTGTCAACGGTAAACAGCTTGTTTGACCCCATCGGCTTTATTGCTCCTATTACCATTAGTGGCAAAATTCTCCTACGAGAATGTACACCAGAAGGAATCGACTGGGATGAACCACTACCCACAGATCATCTTCACAAATGGAAAGAATGGCAATCTTCTATTGACTGCCTCAGTGACATTGCCATACCCCGTATGCTGTCCCATACATCAGGCAGTTTAGTCAAAGTGTCAGAAGTCCATATATTTTCTGATGCTTCAGAAAAAGCAATAGCTGCGTCAGCCTACCTGAAAACAGTGGATAACGATGGGCTTACCAGTGTTCGTTTCATCATAGGCAAAGGCAAGTTAGCCCCACTCAAGGGTATAACCGTCCCTCGCCTGGAGTTATGCGGTGCGGTCCTAGCGTCTGAGATTGCAGAAATTATATCTGTCCAACTCCATATTCCATTGTCATCAATGAAATTTTACACAGACAGTCGAGTGGTTTTAGGATATATTAACAACCACACTCGTCGTTTTTATACATATGTGAGCAACAGAGTCGACCGAATTTTGAGAATATCTTCTGCGGACCAATGGAACTTTATCTCCAGTGAGAAAAACCCTGCTGACTCTTGTACAAGATGCATCACGACGGTTGTTGACATCATGCAACTACCATGGTTCATCGGACCTCAATGGCTTTGCAACGACTCAGAATCAGAGGTGACACCTACACAGTATCCTCTCATTGAACCTGAAACTGACCAGGAAGTTAGACCATTGGATGTGAAAATCGCTACTTGTATTCACACTGCCGTCACTGTGTCAACACCACAACCCAGTCTCAATACTAACAGATTTGAACATTTTTCTAATTGGTGTGATCTTATCACTGGAATTACATGCCTTCAACGATTCTGTCGTAAACTTGGTCTACAAAAGAAACCTGTCACACTCAGCCGCAATGATGAGATACAGATAGCCGAAAACTTTGTGTTGAAACAAGTTCAGCAAGAGAACTTTTCTAAAGATATAAAGAAACTGATTGCTGGAAATCCGTTGACCAAGGATAGCAACATTACAACACTTTCACCCTTTTTGGATGAGAAAGGACTACTTCGAGTTGGAGGTAGAATAAACAAAGCTACTGGAATAATACATGGAAAGGAAATCAACCCAATTATTCTTCCTAAACAGAATCATATATCTTGTCTTCTGATTCGTCATATTCATGAACAAGTAAAACATCAAGGGAGAATATTTACGGAAGGAGCCCTTCGCAGCGCAGGATATTGGGTTATTGGTGCCAAGCGCATGATTGCTTCTATGATACACAAGTGTGTCACTTGTCGCAAACTTCGTCGCAGCCTCGAAACACAGAAGATGGCGGATGTTCCACCTGACAGAATTACACCAGGACCAGTATTTACGTCTGTTGGAATTGATGTATTTGGACCATGGGATGTTTCCACTCGTAAGACTCGTGGAGGAGCAGCAAATAGTAAACGATGGGGGTTGTTGTTTACTTGTCTTACTTCTAGAGCAGCACACATCGAAGTTCTTGAGAAAATGACAAGTTCGTCATTCATAAATGCTTTACGAAGATTCCTTGCAGTCCGTGGACCAGTGAAGTTCATACAATCAGATCGTGGCTCTAATTTCATCGGAGCGGCTGAAGAGATGAAGGTGAACACTGTGAAGGTAGAAGAAGGAACAGTACAGAAATATTTAAACAAATCTGGGATCACTTGGATTTTCAATGTGCCTCATTCCTCCCATATGGGAGGCATCTGGGAACGAATCATAGGAATGACCCGTAAAATATTGGACTCTATGCTTTTGGAATGTAGTAACAAAACCCTCACTCATAAAAAACACTATCAACGTTCTTATGTGAAGTTTGCGCCATTATAAACTCCCGTCCAATTGCACCTATTTCATCGGATCCTAATGAACCTTTGATACTTACACCGTCCATGCTCCTTACTGGGAAAGTGGAATTCTTACCTGTTGTGTCCGATTCACTCAGCCCTCAAGATGTTTACCGTTCTCAGTGGAAACATGTGCAACATCTAGCCGACATTTTCTGGCGACAGTGGCGTAAACAATATTTGTGTATTTTACAGAGTAGAAGAAAATGGGATCGTGAACAGAGAAACGTAAAAGTGGATGATGTAGTGTTGCTGAGAGACCCTGCAGAACATCGTAACTGTTGGCCAATGGGTGTTATTGACCGTGTGTTTACCAGTGATGATGGCTTGGTGCGAAAAGTGGTCGTTCGAACCATTAGAGGCGATAAACCAACCTTTTATATCCGCCCTATTCATGAACTGGTGCTTCTGATCGAATCTCAGTGACACATTTTTGGCTTAACGTGTGACAGTTATGTAATTGTTTAGATGTATTCAAAGTGCATTGTACATGTATTGGCTGATTTTTCCATAACCTTTTATATGTTTTTTCTTAGAAATGCATGTTGGAAATATTTTGCCTCATATATACTTTGTAGTGGCATTTTACTCATGCCAGACGGGGAGTGTAGTGGAACGGAGAGTTGTCTTTCCTGTGTTTACTGTTAATGTTAGGAGTTATCGCTCTTTAATGTAACTCTCCTGTGTTCTTGTATTCTCTACCTGCGTTGACCCAACGTGGAGCGGTCCCGCCGCATGTATGTTTTGTGCAGTATACCTCTGCTACTTTGTTCCATCTATGTCCTCTCAAAATGTAAGTTATTTATACATCATGTTTTCATAAGTATATGTTGCAATAGCATTTTCAGCACGCATGGTTATTTATCTTGTAAAATAGTTTGCCTTGCTACTTTATAAAGACCGCCATTTTTTCTCGTGTTTACATGTTGAAGTCTTACTAAGTTGACATCTATTTTCTGTGAGTTAATCTTATTTCTTACAATAACTGATTTATTTAGGCTTACTATTTATTCCCATGGTGCACATTATATTAATATTTAATTCTGTCCTATTTTCATGGTCATTTCCCTTGCTAGACACCTTGCTATAAATTACATGTACATTTTTTCATTGTCTTAGCATTGTTGTATTTAAGTTAGGTTATTATGTGAATTAATTTGATATGAATTTGTATTTTGTTTTGTGTCTTGATTGTCATATGTACTTATGTTTTTTGTTATGTATTTTTTCAGCTCTTTACCACACATTCACACATATGCAACTGATTAAAGAATTCTGAACATCAGTGTGACTTGGTTATACTTACTGTTTTCCAAACAGTACACTGATACTTTACAATTCTGTTGTGTAGGGAATGAACATTAGGAAGATGCATATACTTTCAACATAAGGTAAAATATAAAGCAAATCGAATCCTTTTTGTGTACAGATCATGAAATGTACTGAGCTCCACGGGTAATTGTTGTCCCGAGCGTATTAATCTCGAAATCCAAATTCTTACTTGGCTAGTGATATCTTTAAAAAACATGTGTATCTAGATGAAAGTTAACTCGGCAACATGCGCCATCCCATTCTTTAAGTTTTATTAGGTGTTTACACCTCCTATACCCGATTTCGCGGATTCAACGATACCCTAATATCGAGTACAGTATTATACGCGATTTCACGGATAATACCCAATTTCGAGTATTCTTTCCGACCTGTTCATATGTACAAGGTATGTGTATAACAAAGCCAATCTGATGGAACTGAATCAAGATTGAAAGAGATTTTTATTAAGGTGTATTTTGAAACAAAATCAGATTTAATTCAATTTTCCTAATCAATTACACATATCGATGATTTGACAAAGGAGAAAGTAAAAGAAAAAAAGATGAAAAGAACGAATGAAAGAAAAGGAAGAAAAGAAAGAAAAATAGAAGTTAACAAATAAACAAACAACAAAAGAAATCCAATATGAATAATCTTAAATCATCTTCACTATAAATTGCTGGAAGAACGTCTAATATGAATACATCATCCACAAAGTTGATCTTTGTCTTTAATATATCTACTTCGTTAGAAGAGCCTCCTCCTTAATTAAGTAAAGCCTCGGTCTCACTATCACTTAATTCTGACGAGACGGACTCTTCGTGGCGTCTCCGAGTATGACCCACGTCTAATGGGGTCAATCCATAGTCACCCTCTTACTTCATTCATATGTTGCTGATAAAGTTTCAGTTATGGATTCATTTTACCTCGACTCTTCTTCCAAAAACGATAATTGGCTGAATTATTTTGAGTTATTTGAAGCTTCCTTTGTTGGATATATTGGTGATTATGATGGATCTGGAGTTGGATATACCGTATATATTGTATTGGTACCTTCAATAGGCATAAACGTAGCTCCAAATTCTTTTGTGATTGGTTCAGTTTAGAATTTCTGAATATTTCAATTAAACTGGCAGTTTCAAATCCGGAGTGTAACAATTTAATGGGAAGGGATGTATCAGTCTTGAGTTGGTTGACTATTAGTTCCTTTTGGTTCCTGACTAAAATCATTTTTCTCCACGAAGCTCAGCGACTCAAGTTTTGATACTTTTTGCTGGTATATATCTGTCGTTTCATTATCAGAGAAATTTTCCAATTTATTTAATTCTGAGTCATCGGACGAAGATGGTCCTCTAAAATGTTCTTCGGAGAAGCAATCATGTGTATGAACATGAAGAGATATTTAATGTATCAATAAGTATATCTGTTTTGTTTTGACTCCTAAGATGACTTTTTTACGAATAAGTCGTTATATTCTAAACCATTTCGGTAAAAAATATATATAAACAAGATTTGCATAATTTCAATCCAAATACACCGCAGATTATGTTAAAATCACAATATAATTAAGTATTATTGCAGAATTGTTTTCTAAACATGAATAAGATTGGAAAGAAAAGACTTCCAAATCAATTGTAATAAGTAAAAGACATATTGCCATTTTTTCAGCAAATATTTATATTTTCGATTGCAATGAATGGTTGTATTTACATTGTAAGATAGTATAAAACACCTATGATATGCGTTTTAACTAATTTCTTTTAAGCATGCATTGGCTATTTTTACATCGACAAAATGACTAAAAGTGCTGGTTCAATTTATGTTTCTCATTTTAACGCATTTAAATCCGATTTCCATCTCTGTTTTTTTTTTTCTTTTGAATGGGCTTAGTGGTCGAGGCCAATTTGAGACTATTGTGTTACCCTTTAAAAGAAGAACTCTTGATAGAAACACAAAAATATCAAAATTTTAAACTAAAGTGTATAAACATTCTCCTTGTCAAATGAAAAATGAGAATTTAAGATAAAATATCTAAAAATTAAGCTATATCTCATGATAAATTTGTTACCCAAATAATTTTATATGTAATAATGTAACGCTATCTCAACCTTTAGTGACTTAGGGCAAATCTAGCCCCCCCCCCCCCTCCCCCGACGAATCGCATTCGTTTACAAGCAGCGCGCAGTTTTGTTAAACTGACAATGTTAGTTTAGTGACATACAATGTAGTATAGGGGATTGAAGATTTACAATAATCACCAGTTTGGCTAATACATGCATTTATCATTTCTTTTCAGTTTCTAAATGCACTTTATATTTATTAGAGAATGAAGTTCAATGCTTATATTTGAGTATTCATAGTAAATCATAATTCCATCGATTAAAATCGTATCCCTTAATGTATAATAACGTACTTTACAAAAAAGGAATGTTGTCAAATGTTCATGAAGATTTGTCAAATTTCAAAATTATGTGTATAGATGTTGTTAGTTTAATTTTCTTGAAATCAATTTTGGTATTTTAGTTAAGTTTTTATTCTCGTTCTTTGCTGCACATAAATAAGGAAGCCAAGGAGGGGCATTGATTTACTTGTTATGACTTTTTTATTATAATTATTTGTTTTGCCTAATTTTGTTTAGATCTTTTTTTGTTAGTTCTAACTAAGTGTTGGTAAACTATTGAGAACGATTAATTGTTGTTTTGTTGTAAAACGTACAAAACTGCTGTGATAACTAAATTTTTATCTGTTAATTACTTGCGCCCTTGAGGGATATTGACTTATTTCTTAAGTGTTTTGATTTAGTTTTTAGGTCACCTGAGTCGTGCGTCGTCCGTCGTCCGTCGTGCGTCGTGTGTTAACATTTGAACATTTTCAGCTTCTTTTCTGAAACCACTGAAAAAATTTTAACCATATTTGGCACAAAGCATGTATGGGTAAAGGGGAACAAAAATTGTGAATTTCATGATCCCTGCCTCCCTGGGGCCTGAGGGGTAGGGCCAAAACCACTGAAATTAATGCAATCTTTAAAAATCTTCTTCTTTACTCCTGGACATCAAGCAGTCAATCTGTTTGCATGATTGTAATCAGCAATGAGTCCTCTACCAAAATTGTGAAATTCATGGCCCTGGGGTCAGGGGTTCTAGTGCTAGGGTGGGGCTAAATAAGTAGGTAGTGAAAATGCATTATTTCTTTGAAAATCTTCTTCTCTGCTCCTGGGTATTGAATAAACCAACTATGTACATAGTTATGATGAGCAAGAGTGCTTCTACCAAAATTGTGAATTTGATGGTCCAAGGTTCAGGGGATCTGTTGTTAAGGCGGGGCTCTATTGATTATAAAGTGAAAATCCATGATTTCTTTGAAAATCTTCTTCTCTGCTCTGGGTATTAAATAAACTAACTAAGTACATAGTTATGAAAAACAAGATTACCTCTACCAAAATTGTGAATTTTATGGCCCCAGGGTCAAGGGTTCTTGTTTTAGGGTTGGGCTCTAATGATTATATATAGTGAAATGCATGACTTCTTTGAGCATCTTATCCTTTGCTCTTGGTTAATATGCTAATGATCTAATTACATACATGTATTTAAGGCCAGGATTTATTTTATTTTCAGTTTTATAAACCCTCCGCTCAAGGTTTAGAATTTTCAGAAAAAATAAAACAATTTTTTCTTTCCGATGTCAAATTTGAGTCGGGTTCGAGATTTCAAATTTACAAAGTCGCACTTCCGGTTTTAAGATGAAACGGCGGGTAAATAATGCTAGATCTATCTGAGAAGATAGCTTGGTTTAGTGTAAAATTCATCGATTCAAGTGCCATTCAAAACGTTTCACCCGTTAAAAGGACAAATTAAATGCTTACGACTTTGTTGCACAATGACATGCTGGTGAGATAATTATGTGTAAGTTTCAGAAGCATCTGTCTGTAAATTATTTTCCTCCCCCAGGTTTTAAACTGCCAGTGGTAGCTAATGCATATTGTCAGCGACATTGTTTAGATCTCTGTTATAGCTTACAGTCAAGGCATTATTCTTCAGAAAAGGGTTGCTTATGCATCAGATGTAATGAATAAAATTATGGGAGAGGTTAAGTCCATTTGAGGAAGAAATAAACAATAACCTGAAGAAATAAAGAAAAAATCGACTATTAAATGGCAAAAATATACAAATATATACAGGCATGAAGTATCATTTGTATCAGCCATTAAAATTATTTTACACTTAATTGAAAAAATGTTCACCCTACTCCCTAGTACTCCCTGTCTGTTTTATGATGGGAATTATATAATTTTAGACATCAAGTAAATTTTAGAACTATACCTACATATTCACCTAACA